TCCACAAATGAAAGATTATTATTTTCACTTTAATTGCTATGGAATTTCCTCGAATGAGAAAGACACAAAGACTGACTGCACATACGCAAACATACTTGAGCCTACTGCACTCTCTATCTCTCTTTCCAGGACAGTCATAACCAGAGTTCCCCTTTTCTCATGCCCAGGCTTTTTAACTTCATCAGCTGTAATGTAGCATGAGAAAGAGAAGAAAAAATATTTTCAGAAAAGAATGACGTTTTTCTTAAAAGAGCTTCCAGCATTGTCAGAGTCCTTCAAGAGTATATTTCATTATCAGAGCAGAAATCTAATGTTTCTAAAAACAACCCTAAAAATCAGCCACATGTCTTTCTTAAGTCTGAGGTTGGTCCCCCTGCCCTGCTCATGCTGGCACTGAAGGAAAAGAAAGTGATGTGCTTTAGCTTGGCCATCTATAAAATAAGAATAGCCATATTATTAAACAATCTCGATAGCCTTTGAAGCACACTTTAGGATGAGGATTTTTTTTTTTTTTTCTGAGACAACGTGCTGACAAAGTTATGGCAATAGGTCAATGTGTGTGGTTCTAGATAAGTCCCTGGAGAGAATACAAGGGCAGTGTAGGGAAAAGGAGCCTGGGCCAGGCACAGTGGCTCACAATTGTAACCCCAGCACTTTGGGAGGCCAAGATGAGTGGATCACTTGAGGCAAGAAGTACAAGACCACCTTAGCCAACATGGTGAGACCCCATCCCTACTAAAAGTACAAAAATTAGCCAGGTATGGTAGTGTATACCTGTAATCCCAGCTACTCAGGAGGTTGAGGCATGAGAATTGCTTGAACCCAGGAGGCGAGGTTGCAGTGAGCTGAGATTGCATCACTGCAGTCTAGCCTGGGCGACAGAGTGGGACTGTCTCAAAAAAAACCAAAAAACAAAAAACAAAAAAACCAAAACACACACACACACACAAAAGAGTGAATGTGAGAGAGAGAGAGAGAGAGAGAGAGAGAGAGAGAGAGAGATGGTACAATTCAGCCCTCCATTTGGAAGAAATAACCAACATGCAGTGGGTAAAGTGATTTGCCCAGGGCCAAACAGAGTCAAGATGAAACCTCCTGATTCAATGCTCCTGCCCCAGCTGCCCTGGAATCTATAATCCACCGGGTGGCTTTACAGGATGTTACAATTCTGTTAAACAAGTTGAGGCTGTGGGTATGACTCTGGGAAACCCCAGGCTAAAAATGGCACAGCCTGTAGCTATTTGTATCTGATGCCATCAGCAAGTGGAGGTAGGAGATGCCTGTCTCAACACACCAAGATTCACTTTACTAAGAAATGTGCTATCAGTAAAACACATAGAGGGCATTACCCACAAGGCAAAAAGTTCTGATTCTCTTCTGCTATAAGATGTTCAAACACATAATGAATCATATACGTGCTCAAGCCTGGTTAACTGGAACCCACTCAGCTCAATCAAAGGCAGTAGCACTTAAAAGATGCATCCAACAGCAATATGATGTTAGCCACCTACGTAATTTAAAAATGTCTAGTGGTCACTGAAAAAGTAAAAGAGAAACAGGTAAAATTAACTTTAAAATCTTGTCTAACCTAATATATTCAAAACGTTATCACTGCAAATAAGTAATCAATGTAAAAATTGAGATTTCATGCTAAATTATATTCTCTTAGGGATCCTTCTTTTTTTTTGAGATGGAGTTTCACTCTTGTTGCCTAGGCTGGAGTGCAATGGAGTAATCTCGGCTCACTGTAACCTCTCCCTCCCAGGTTCAAGCGATTCTCCTGCCTCAGGCTCCCGAGTAGCTGGGATTATAGGTGCTCACCACCACACCTGGCTAATTTTTTTTTGTATTTTTAGTAAAGACGGGGTTTCACCATGTTGATGAACTCCTGACCTCAGGTGATCTGCCTGCCTCAGCCTCCCCAAAATGTTGGGATTACAGGCGTGAGCCACCGCGCCCTACCAGGGATCCTTCTTTTAACAGATTCTTTTCTCCTGCTGTTGTAAAGTAGTATCAACTAGTGGACCCTCCAGCCAGTCCGCCCACACTCTCAATAATGGCACTCAGTTATTCAGAAGGTTAACACATGCAAGATCCCACAAAAGGCACTTGTTAGAGACTTTGAACTTCCAAGGAAACATTAAGAAGGCAGGTTATCCATATGTCTCATAAACAGAAAAATACTAGAAGATCTTAAGGTTACCTGGCCAAGATGCGCTAAGACAGAATGAAACCAGATCTGATGGCAATACCTGTTCTCTTTCTAGTCTCCATCTTCTGACCCAACTGCTTTCTTGAAAGAGCCAGTATGTGAGTAAAAGATCTGGGAAATGCAACAGCATATAGTTATATCATTTAACTAACAAATTAACCCAAGGCTCAGTGCCCAATTCGGACTTTACAGTATCGTCTGTAATATTTCATAAATCTGGATCATCCTGAATATGGAGTTTTGTATTCTGCTCTATTTAGCAATCATATTATAATCATTTTCTTAAACTATTACCTCCAAACACATGGACGTTGACAGCCATTGAGATTATGATCAAGATGTTTCCAAAATACAAACTCCAGCCTATCCCTCTATTCAAATGACTATGTTCAAGCCCTCAAAAAATACTGACAGAGCAAAGATGGGCTAGGAACTGTGGGCGTTGGTGATATGGTGCAAACAGGGCAGACAGGGCCTCTTATCTCACATGGCTTATATTCTAGAGGGAAACAGGTCATAAATATATAGTGTCAGGTATAAATACATGATAAGGACATAACTCAGGGTGAGAGACATGTAACCACTTTAGTCTAAACCCATTATTTATTAGGTTGAACCACATGAAACTGCTGATATTCAACCATTTCTGACCAACGGGATGGGCAATTTCAAAACAGTTTCATTCCGTCAGGAAACAACCAAGAATGCTTCTGATGGACCAGAAATTATAATGAATCCCTGAAAGGCAGAAGACACAGTGGCCTGGACTGGACAACCCTCTCTCCCACAGCAGAAGCTCTAGGAGAGGGCTGTGAGTGCCGTAAGCTCAGAGATAACTGACGGGAGGAGCAGCATGGACTGAGGTGGTAGGCAGGGTGACTGGATGGGGGACTGTGGAAGGATCCCCAAATGATTTAACTCTGTGCTACTCCCCACTCTCCACCCAGCCCAGGAGGCTCCTGTCTTCATCCAGAGCATTTTGAGAGGCAATTATTTCTACTAGGAATAGGGGAGGGGGTGGCCCTAGTACAGCGGCCCCCAACCTTTTTGGCACCACGTAAGGAAACTAACTGAAAGAAAGTTCCAAAAACACAACCTGATTAAAAAAGTAGGCAAAGGACTTGAATAGACATTCCTCAAAAGAAGACACATAAATGGACAACAGCTGTATGAAAAATGCTCAACATCACTAGTCATTAGGAAAATGCAAATAAAAACCACAATAAGGTATCACCTCACACCTGTTTGAATGGCTTTTTTTTTGCTGTCATCCAGGCTGGAGTGCAGTGGTGCATTCATGAATCATTCTAGCCTTGACCTCCCAGGCTCAAGCGATCCGCCCACCTCAGTCTCCTAAGTAGCTGGGACAACAGGTGCATACCAACACACCTGGCTAATTTTTGTTTTATTTTTTATAGAGACAAGGTCCCATTATGTTGCCCAAGCTGGTTTCAAACTCCTGGGCTCAAGCTATCCTCTTGCTTCAACCTCTCGAAGTGCTAGGATTACAGTTGTGAACCACTGTGCCAGGCCACAAATGACCTTTATCGAAAAGACAAAACATAGTAAGTGTTGATGAGGATGTGACAAAAACAGAACCTTTGTATACTGCTGGTAGGAATATAAATAGAGCCATTACTAAAATTCCCCAAAAAACTAAAAACATCAACTACCACATGATCCAACAATCCCATCTCAGGGTGTATAAGGAAATGAAATTTTATGTCAAGAAAGACATCAGCCCTTCTATGGTCCCTGCAGCATTATTCACAATAGCCAAGACATGGAAGCATCATAAATGTCCAACAACAGATGGACAGATAAAGAAGAGGTGGTCTATATACACAACGAAATACCATTTAGCCTTAAAAGAGAAGGCAATTCTGTCAATTGCCACAACATGGGTGAACCTGCAGGACATTATGTTAAGTGAAATAAACCATTCACAGAAAGACAAATACTGCATGATCTCACGTATATGTGGAATCTAACTAAGTCAAACTCATGGAAGTAAAGAGTAGAAAGGTTACCAGGGGCTGGGGTTTTGGGAGATGTTGATCAAAGCACAAAATTTTAGTTAGATAGGAGGAATAAGTTTTTGAGATTATACTGCAGGGTGATTATAACTAATGACAACGTATTATGTATTTCAAAATTGTTAAAGTAAAAATCAAATGTTCTCAGCACCAAAGATGATATGTGGGGTAATATGTTAATTAGCTTTGCTAATCATTGTACAATGTATACATGTATCAAAACATAATGTTATACCTCATATATACATTTATCATTTGTCAATTAAAATTCAAAAACAAAAACCCACAATGAAAAGCTTAAAGCAGGCTGGGTGCGGTGGCTCATGCCTGTAATCCCAGCACTTTGCACTTTGGGAGGTCGAGGTAAGTGATTTCCTGAGGTCAGGAGTTCAAGACCAGCCTGACCAATATGGTGAAACTCCATCTCTACTAAAAACACAAAAATTAGCTGGGCATTATGGCAGGCGCCTGTAGTCCCAGCTACTGGGGAGGCTAAGACAGAAGAATTGCTTGAACCTGGGAGGCGGAGGTTGCAGTGAGCCGAGTTCATGCCATTGCACTCCAGCCTGGGTGATGAGTGAGGCTCTGTCCTCCCGCCCAAAAAAAAAAAAAAAAAAAAAAAAAAAAATGGCAAGAAAGTCTGTGGCCCTGCCCTCCCGGTTTCCCTGCTGGTTCCCAAACATCGTCCATTTGAGCTGGAAATGACCAGCTACAAGCTACAATAGCCTAAAGCATTTTGTATGACTGCTTACCTGTCAATGAATTGATCAATAATGACAATATCACCGGGCTGAATCTCCTCCCTCAAGGAGCCACAGGCTGTGGTCACTATGACATGTGTACAGCCCTCTTCCTTCAAAGCCCAGATGTTCGCCTGGTAGTTGACCTTTGAAGGCATGATGGTGTGCTGCCTTCCATGCCTAAGGAAGGACAGAAGAAATCGTCAACCCGTGATGAACACACCACCAACTGTTTTCTCCTAGAGTCCAGAAAAAATTAAGTGATTCTCTAGCAATGACCACAGACTAACACAGGGGGTCTCCTAGAACCCACTCCAGTGACCAACTAAAACTAAAATTTAGGTTCCCTGGATTCTGAGAAGCCACTTCTGTTTCAAAAATGTAGACTGGCAGACAGAGCGTAGTGTGGTTCCCATTGTCATGCTCTGTATAAAGTGTCAGTGAACCTGGGACTTGCATCCGGCCATTAGAAAATGGCAAATGGGCTATAAGTCACTCCCATGATTAGGCTCTACCTTGCAAGCATGCACGTGAGATTCTCCTACTGGCCTCCTGCATGCTTGCAAGGTACAGCCTAGCCATGGAGGTGACTTCTAGCACCTTTGCCATACCCTAATAGCAAGCAGCAAGCTGCTGCCAAATGAACAGCCTGTGGAGCAGGCCACACGACGGAATGTGAACCACCTCTAGGAGCCAAAGGCCTCTGCCCTGTAACTTCTAGGAAGTGAATTCTCCTACAACCACATGAGCTTGAACAAGGACCTCAAGCTCCAGATGGGAACTCAGCCCTTGAATATGCCTTGTGGGGCCTTGTGCAACCGCAAGCAGAGGACCTGCTAAGCTGTGCCAGACTTCTGACCAACAGGAACCAGGAGATCATGTATGCTCTTTTAAGCTGCTAAATTTGTAGTAATTTGTTACACAACAGTAGAGAACTCATACATATATCTTGACTAATTTCTAACAATGGGATAAAAATGACTTGGCCTCCTCTGTAATATGGAGCAGCACCAGCCTCCTTAAGGAAACAACAGCACAGACACAAGTAACCCACTTCAGAAGCCCTAAGCCCACTCTTCACAGATATATAACTACTACTAGCAAGAGGTCATTAATGATGGATTGTCTTTCTTTATCTTTGTAAGAAAGGGGAAAAAATGAACAAAACATTTCTTCTTGCATTTAGAACTAAAATCAGAGCTTTGATTTTAGTCATCTGATCTACTTTCCCAATCTAAGGGGCAAGGGCATGAGATCTTTGATCTCCTAAGTCAATATAACTTAACCAAAAATGAAACATTGTAAATAAAGGTTACTAAGATGTTCTGATTCTGTCAACATATAAAAACTCATACCTGTATCTTTACTCTTTCCAGAATTTAAGTTTAAATTATCCTTTAGTAGTAACATCCAAAAAGCTTAAAATACCATACCTTGCAAGAAGGACGCAATCAACATTTTTTATCTTCCCCAAAATTAAGGCATCAGATGGCTGCATGCAATGAAAAAATGTCAATTAATTCAGTGATTTAAAAACAGGTATGTAAATTAAAATTATTCAACCACAACAGTACTCATGGAATCCGAAGAGTCTGAGGATACAACTTAGAGAAGAGGCAAGATCTGATCATCAATATAATCATTTAATCAATCACTTATTGATCCCTCTTGCAAGCACAGATTCACAGGACTCAAGGTTACCATGAGTACCTGTGTAGGTACCATTTAGTTAGATCTATTCGTAACGAGTACCCCAGGGGACTATGATGGTAGACTGGTCAAACTTAGATGTGTCAAGATTATTGGGCAGGTTCAAGAACAGGTATGAGGGTGAAAGGCAGAAAGGACAAGAAGTCACTGTCATGACACTAAGAACTCAGCACTGGAAATGTCTGCTTGTGTTAACCAGGTCTAAGATGATCCTGGAAATGACTTGAGGTAACAAAGGCTGGAAAGACCCTTAGAACCAAGGGGTTTAAGAAAATGAACCAAGATGACTGCAGGACTGGGAGCACGCAAGGTCAACCTAAGAATTTAGCTGAAAAGGAGGGTTTGGTTGGGACAGTCAGATAGAGAGATCTTACAGAAGGACCAGAGGACGTAGCAATATGAAATTAGGAGAATGCAGACACCCTCACCCGGGCATAGGCTAAGTGACACGGGATTGGAGAACAAGCAACCTCTCCTATAAAAGGAGGAACGTTTTATTTCTAGCTCAGTTATGCATTCAACTAACATGAGGTATGTTCTCATTCCCCAAAACAGTTCTTTTCACTCAAATGCCACTTCATAATAATTCATCCTATTAGTCATCGGCCTGTCCCCTAATTAGTGTGGTGTGACCTACTGGCCCCATATTAGGTGATTTGAATGTAGATTTGAAAAGTACAGTCTGGAATGAGTCTGTGGTCTGAAATGAGTATCCGATTTCTAGCAACAGAATTTGAGAAGTGATGTACATATCCAGTAGCCATTTTCTCAAAACATCAAAGTCTGAGGCATCCGTCAGATACCTTCTCAGCTGATGGAACCCAACAGCAGAACTTCTGGCCCTCTCTGCTGTGAGCAGACAGCCCTGGGCTGCCAAAACAAAAGCAATTTTTTTTTTTTAATTTAAAAATCAAGCCAGCAAGGAGAAATGAAAAAACTAACATGTCTCCACTAATTGGACATATTAACCTTGCCAAATGGAGTATCCACATATTTTTCAGTTCTTCCTTCTAAAATTTCTGGATCATCCAGGCCTGTTCCACCAATTATTCCAATCTAAGAGAGAAAAAGACAGAGAAGATTATTGTATTTGGTAATTTTTATTAGAAATAAAATTCTAAGCAAATTCATTTATTCATATGCTCTTCTCCATTCCTGCCAAGCCCTATTTTTTTGAAATCTGAAAATTACTGAACAACAATCCACAAATATTTCAACGCCTTCTATAAAAACCAACAAATATTTGAAGGCCTTCTATAGTCTAGAAATAACCAAAATGTAGGATACCTTTTTGGACTACATCACATTTACTTCTGACTGTCTAAATTACAAGTCAGCACAGACAGGTACTTTAACCAACTCAAGTTAGAAAGTCAAACCTAAAAGTAGGCAAATATGGTAGTGGAAAGTACCTTCTAATCAATTTTGTTTCTCTGTCAAATGGACTACAGAGTAAAGAATGTCCAGAAGACTGCTGCGATATAAAATATTAGGTATTCCATTTGGTAGTGATTTCTCCTCACTGTTCTATTTGATAAAGAAATGAGAGATTATCTTTCCCACGCCATTAGAATCACAGAGCTAGGAGAGAATGCAGACAGAGGAGACTGAAATAGCATGAAAAGTTACCCGCATACACATTTATGAAAACAATCATTCATATATGTATGCAAATTCGTATTTACATATTGTAGATATACATATAGGATACTCATGTATACTACTCAGTAAATACATTTATGTAAACATAAATAAGTAATTCAAAAGGTAGTTATAAGTTTTTTTTAAGTTCATGAATTGTATTGCATTTTTCAGAGATTATCTTGAAAGTCCTTGTCTGAGTTAAAGAAACCTGAGAGTTGATATAATTTGATGATTAAGAAACAGAAACAAGAACAATTATAAAAATAAATAAATACTAACTAAACTGTTAAAACTAAAAATTAAGTAACAAATCATTAGGGAAATTTCCTTGAGCTGGTACTTCCTAAAGGACAAAGTAAATAGTGCCAGGCTAACTTTATAGAAACCTAATTAATGCGAAGTGACCTGATCATTGTTGTTTTTCAATGAAAAGCTTTAAATCTATTGTCACTTGGGTAACTAAATAAATTAGGCCTCAAGAAAAAATTCCAGAGTTAAGAATTCAGTGAACATCTGAATTAAATAATTTTCAGGTCAGGTTACACAAGTTGAGTCCTATCAACACGTAAAAAAATGGTTACCTTTCTGCCTCAGTTTCCTGAAAAAAACAACAAAAAAACAAAAGCAACAACAACAAAAAACAAACAAGAAGATAAGGACAATTTAGTGAAGTTTTTACTGAAGAACTCTGCCTGTTTCCCGTGACATGGTTACATAATTTGTGACTGTCCACCACAATTTCCTTAAGTGGCAAAGCCAGGTTTTGATGTTGGCGCCATCTTGTGGAGGTATATTATTAAAACCACAACAGGTTAACGTACTTTATGTCAATGAACTTAACATTATTGTTAAAGGGTAACCAGTATAATAGCTTTCAAATCAACAGAAGTGTTCACTTAAGTCAATAAATTTAAATAACGGCACTTCAACAGAAAATAACAAAAATTCATACTGTTTTAGGAAATCCCAACCCTTCCTTAGCCTGGCTTCTCCAACTTATCCTTCATTCCATGGACCTCTGAAGCACCACAGGTCATGAGGAAGCTAAGAAACCATCCAGCTCCCATCCTCACCTGGGACACAGATATGAACTGCTGACTCTGAAATTACTCTCGGCCAACTTCCTGGGATTCAGTTACTAGATTTTAACTTATCACTACTTTGACCTGGCTGTCTCTGGGTGTTCCCTGAGCCATGGCATCTCAGATTCTGGATTCAACACTGGATGCTCGGGATCAAATACACAAATCAAGTTGGGCTTTGTTTGGAGCCACCCTCCGAGTTTACGTGAACTTGCCCAGCATTGTAGCAGTTGTTGAGAAATGCTAACCAGGTGTCCTGCTGAAATTCAGAGCCCCTGAGCTCACTCTCAGCAGCCCCAAGCTTCAGTCTGCACCACCTGACTGCATAATGACTCTGCACTAGGTAGCTGGCAACTCAGCCCTCAGCAAGGAACGTGTAGTAGCCCTGGACATGAAAGCAAGAGTGGCTACTGCGCTGGAATGATCTGCTGGCAAGCCCATCCATTCACTTAACTAGGTCCAGTTGTTTATGGAAACCTACATTGTGCGAGGGATACAGGGACAAGCGTAGCAACTGAGTCACGCCATCCCAGGAAACTGGACCTCTAAGATGGAGGCCAGCAGGGCCAAGATGTGGCCAATGTCGCCACCTGCTGGCTCCACAGCAAAGTACAACTGGGATGAAGTACCCAAGCACTGATGGCCCAATGCTATCTACATTCCCTAGAGTCTCTAAGTTTGTGTCAACTCAATACTGCCTTAGTAATAAAGTAACTGTGTCTGTGGACTTACATGTTATAGGCACTGTGCTAAGTGATTCAGTGGTCTCACCTTATTTCATCATCACGACCATAAGATGGGCCCTATAGAATGCTACCCATTTAACAAACGAAGAAAGAGAAGCATAAAAACTAAAAACATCAAAGAGCAAATCATAAGGAGCAAAGCTGGGATAGAAATCCAGGTCTTTCAAGCTTAACCACTATGATCTGCCCTCTCCCAATATCCCCTGGAGTCCTTCATAACATTACACCTTATTAGAAAAGTTTTTTTGGTCTCCATGTTATGAGGCAACATGCTCAGAGAGGTCAAGTTCATGACGAAGGTCACAGAACAAGCACAGAAACAGTGACTCCAGGTATCTGAGTGAATCGTCTCAGAGGGGAGGAAAACTCTCAATGACTTCATCCACGCTCAGGAAACAATGACAAGACCCTGCCAGGCCTCCTGGGCCGGAAGCGTCAGTCCCCAGTTCAGTTAATTCTAGACTGTGTAAGAAATGTGTTCAAGACCTGAGATGGAATTTCTGCCCAGCCAGGACTTCTTTATTACACAAGATAGAGTTCTGAAATATGGAGTCAATCAAGGTCCTTGAAAGATTTTAAAAGCTAGTGGCTCATGCCACACTTTTCCACTGACTGACCATCAAACCAAACTTCTCAAAACTAGACTTTCTGCATTGATAATAAAGCTCTCTATGACATCTGCTTCAGAACCCTAAAGCTGCCTACACCTACCTACAGTGACTTGAACCACCTGGTGTCTGCAACCATGAGTGGGGTCACCATCTGTCTGCACTTCCCTGGCCAACTCAATGCTGACTTGCAGAAGCTGGCCGTGAACATGGTCCTATTCCCCCACTTGCACTTCATGTTTGGTTTCGCCCTGCTGACCAGCCAGGACAACCAGCAGTACCAGGCCCTGATGGTGCATGAGCCCACCTGGCAGATGTTTGATGCCAAGAACATGATGGCTGCCTGCAACCTCTGCCATGGCTGCTACCTAATGGCGGCTGCCATATTCAGGGGTCACATGTCCATGAAGGAGGTGGACAGGCAAATGCTTAATGCCCAAAACATGACAGCAGCTACTTTGTTGGTTGGATCCCCCAAGATATAAAAACAGCTGTATGGACTTCCCACCCTGGGGGCTAAAGATGTCTGCCACCTTCACTGGCAACAACACTGCTATTTAGGATCTGATCAAGTCCATCTCAGAGCAGTTCACAGGTGTGTTTCGGTGCAAAGCTTTCCTGTACTGGTACACGGGCGAGGGCATGGACGAGATGGAATTCACTGAGGCTGAGAGCAACATGAACGACCGGGTGTCTGAATACCAGCAGTAGCAGGAGGCCACGGATGAGGAGGAAGAAGAGTTTGAGTGAGCCAAGGAAGAAGTAGGTGGCCTAAAGCCTTCTGCTACTGTGTAAAGGGTGGAAGTGATGTGAACCCTTTATTCACACACAATCTGTTCTATGACAGCCATGTCTTACTGTATGTGCACTTGCTGTTCTTTGTGTCTTGACATCACATGTTCTAAAGACACCCCAAAGAAAGCATTTTCATAGTGAAAAAAAAAATTTTGTTCAAGAGCAAATCAATCCAAGGGTCTGACTTTGGACTGTGAAAGCATTTATCCAAATACCAGCTCACCTGCTCAGAACGGTTACTTCCAGCAATGTGGAAAGGGTGCATACTAGCCCCTACTCTGTGTCTATTTCCACTAGTACCTGGCTACAAGAGATTTTACCAACCCTTCTTCGTCCCAGAAACCATTCACCATCACTTTGAGGCCTGGGCGCACTGCCGTAAGGAACCCAGCACTCGATAATGGCATTCTCAAAATACCATGACCCCAAGCATTTGAGACCAGCTCATGACAGGGAGATGGGCTCCCTCTGAGTGCCTCAAGCTTATGATGAGGTAAGTGAGCCACAGCCGGAGCTGGCACAGCCCGATCTGAGCATTGCAGTCCTTCAGATCTGGTTGCCATAACAATTTTGGCAAGCACAGCAGACAGAAGCCCTCATTATTAGGCTGACACGGCTTTGAGGCCTGTCAGGGCCTTGCAAAATCCCGAAGCCTAGCTGTATGGGAGGGAGCAACCAACTGTCTCAGGCTGGGAGGACTGTTAAAAACCTGCAATAGGGTCCACAGGGATAGCTGGGGGCTTCATCTCAGAAAAGATATCCCCTCTGTAGGCCACCCTTGTAGGCAATGGTTATGGATGGAACTGTGTCTCCCCTAAGTTCATATGTTGAAGTTCCAACTCTCAGTACCTCAGAATGTGACTGTATTTGCAGTTTTTAAAGACGTAATTCAGATCAAATGAGGTCACTGGGATGGGCCCTAATACAGTATAGCTCATGCTATGGTTTGAATGTGGTCATCTTCAAAACTCATGTTGAGGCTTGTTCCCCAAATACAGTGATGCTGGGAGGTAATACCTTTAAGAGGAGTTTGAGTCATAAGCCGCGGTAATAATCTGCCCCCATTAAGGGATGAATGCAGTCCCAGGGGAGGGTGTTCTTGCTCTCATTGGGTTGGATTAGTTCCAGTAAGAGTGGGTTGTTATGAAGCCAAGTTTGTCTCTCTCTTTTTTGTGTTTCCT